CGGCCAGGTGATGAACATAATTCCAGATGAATGAGTATTCTCTGGCTCGAAATCTACAAGGTGGAACTCGTTCATTAAAATCGTAGAATTTGGAAAAATTTTGTTACATATTTTCTAGAGAATTAGTTCAGGAAAAATTGCCCGAGTTGGTATTCCACACATTTTTTGGCGAACGGGCAAAAATGTATAAATCAGGATTATTAGTTTTGCAGAGGAGCACTTATAATATTAAATATTATACTCTTTTTCCCGTGTACCAGAGATTTGTTGCATAACGGGTTTTTATTAAAATTTTACAACAAAGTTTCATCTTGTAAATTTTGAGTCAGGGAGTATTTACAACAATTATTACATTCAACTGAGTCATTCACCTATAATCATGTTCACCACCTGGACACACAGTGCCCACATTGGCGTTTTACGTTTCATTTAATTTTTAATTTTTTTGAGGATTTTTTAATTTTAAAATACGTGTTACATCCACAGTAAAGAATTGTAATACGTGCAAATGATCTGAGTTACTATTCACTCTTCGATCCAACACAAAGAGAAATGTTTATTTGAGCCGTCTAATACCCATGTACCCCTTTGAGTAAGTTCATTTAATTCGTTCCGTATAGGTTTTGAGGCATGACGAAGAAGGCTCATCTTCCAAGGCACCAGTCGTTTGACGTTACGAGTCTGGTGTCAGTTGACTGTAGTACTAATTGTAACTGGTGTGCCGACATTTCCAGTTCATACTGTGCCGATTATTTTTCCGCAAAGAATGATTTTGTCTCTTGAATTATATGTTTGTGACCAATGGCTGCACAACGGCTCGAAGATCGATATCTTTATTAATGTATTTTATCCTATATCTATTTGTAAAATGTGTGCTTCAATTAGCTATAAGTGGTCATACAAACGAGACAAACACGCCGACACTCGACGTTCTTATTTGTTTATAACAAATCAGTGTATCAGTCACCCAATTACCGATATTAAATGTTTAACGTTGAACAACTGCCGCCTAGGAAGGAGAACCTTCTCTGTCGTGGCCTAATCGGAACGGAACGAATCAAAGGAACTCATTGTAAATACGAAGGATAATTCACGTAAATTAGTCCTAGAAAGGTAAGTTGTCTAACGCTGTTGCATTGTAGGCTTATATTTACTTTTTTACGAATATTACCAAATAATCGTATTTAGAATTAATTTCAATGAAGTTATCTCCTTTCAAAATTGTATGTTAAAATAAGGGTGTGTAACCAGCTCTCGAAGTGTAAAACATTTTTCTCGCATATTTCGAGGAAGAATCCTTTCTAAAATTTCGAGAAGAGTTTTTCTTGATTTTACTAACACCTTGTATATTTAATATGGATTTATAGCAATGGTAGGAATGATTCTGGTCAGAATATTAGACACAGTATTACAAATAATTCGATAAAGATTGAATACAATATCGTGTCCTTCAAACATTAGTCTCAAAAGTAGTAACTTCTTTTATGTCAAAATGATGGAGTTTAAGATCCTCTAATTGTGAATAAATACTCGAGAACTGTTTTCTTGCTTGTTACTTAGAAAATGTAAACACGAGGGAACGACAGGCAAGTAATTGTTCCGTTTATGTTTCTGGAAGCAAAATGAACACGTGTTTATAAGAGTTTGATTGATTTTGACATCAATACACTTCACAGAAAGTGTTGAGAAATTTTCTGGGCATTACAATTTCATGACGTACTATAAATAAACCCTTTTAAGAATTCGTAAGAGTTCTTGACAAATATTGTTTGTTTAATAGGTTCTAAGAGGCTAAATAGTTGTTATAAAAACACATATGTATTAAAAAACTAAATTTTGGAATGTTTGATCGTTCGTACTAACAAATTCTCGACGTTTAACTAATATCATGTATAATAATATATAAATTATTCATATGTATACGCGCAACATTATAAAAGTTAATACAATTTGTAATTAAATCTCGTTCAGGCCTTTCAATTTTACTGTAAACACAAGAGATGTTGAAAATGATGAGTGGTCCTAATTCAATGGCCAGGGTCTGTACATACAATTTTATTATCAAGAAAAAGAGCCTCTTTCACGAACTACCTCCACGAAACCGAGTTAACATTATACATTCAGAATCACAAGCAAGAACATCGTTACGTTTCGTTCCATTATGTGTGCGGTATTTTCAACCAGGAAACCCGTTTCTGAACCACGAGAGACTTTAAAAAACCCGCCTGAGCGAGTAGCACCTGGCGAGCAATGTACACAACACGGGCAGAATCATCCCCTCCAGCAAAGTGAACCCCCGATTCTTGGTGTATGCGTACGTGTTGCTGTTTTATTTTCGCATCGGAGCCTGCAAGCAAAACAAGCGGACGTTCGCATTCGCTGCACAGGCCATGGGAATTTACGCTCGTCGTCGGCTGCCGTGGCGATCCGCCATTCGAATTATTCGGGGTTCGCGTTTTCCTCGTGGATCTATTTCCTGGATCTTGATAGAACGCGTCGCCATCTGCGTGGCACGTACCGCGATTGTGTTCCGTTTTGCAAAGAAAGTGGAGGCGAAATTGGTCTACCACAGAAGAGTATTCGGTTATGTTGACCCCCTTTCGATATTTTCTTCCGTCGAATACTTTTTCCCTTTGTTTGCTTCCCAGACCCGTATTTTTACTTCATTACTGCCTCATTCCGTTTCACTTCCTTCTACCTTCGTGTTTTTATTTCGTACCCTAGGTATTGTGTTTTATTCAATCTTGTATTGTCGCGCTGAGATCGTAGTACTACAATAGATTTTCGTATTAAAGGGTTATGCTTAGGTGCCCGAGAAAAAGGTGATTTTTGGAAATTGTTTTCTGGAAAACTGTAAAATCTTTTTAAAAAAGTATACCTGATTTAATAAGAACAGACGAGACTACATAGATTCACTATGACTAGAATGCGAATTTTTACATTTACAGCAGATGCAACGAGTAATAATATAATAATGAAATGAAAACATTAATGGAGATTTTATTTTCTTCTTTATTTACTGCAAATACTGATTGTTGCAATAAATTTGTAGAAAATTCTTGTTCTCGTAAATTAGTTCGTAAAAATTTGAAAATCTTCTGTACATATGCGGGAAAAATAATCTCTAAAATAATCTAACAAACGTCCAATACACGAATAACTTTTCTAAATAAGTTTATCCTTTAAGAAAATGCCCTAATTTTTTTTTATTGAATCTGCATAAACCAATAAGTTAAGGAGTAGTAATTTTGAATCCTTTTCCGAGCCATCGTTAAACGTAACCTTTTGAAATTCAATCCTTTTCCAATCGAAGGGAACATCGAAAGCTCCCGATCGTATCTTCGACGTAAGACAGGACTGAAAAGGCTCTTTATGTCGACGGGAAACGTCGTTTCGTTATGGGGAATTGTCTGGATTTACGATCTATATTCGTTTCGCGTTTTCGTCCTAATATCGTCTTTCAAGCACTTAACGCTGTGAGCCCTAGGATATGACGTTAATGCGAAGTTTATGTTAGCAGCCCTGAAAACAGGTCTGAGAACTGACCCACTTTCCGCGTTCGTGCACGGCTAACTCGTTTCATTTTCGACGTAGCCATCAGGAACTGTTTCCTGCGTGCAGGTACCTAAAGAAACCGACATACAGGTGAAGAGTAAATTTACAGTTAGTTTCTTTTGTTCTATTCCCATTTAAATGAAACATTTTTCCTTTCCTTTTTGCAATTATAACTACAGAATGTTCGGTGCTTTTAAAAAATATGGTGGAACGTTTAGGGAGAGAGAGCTTTAATGTTTTCCTATAAATTACATTTATTTAATTGCGGGAATCAAGAATAATATGAATTTAATGTAAACGATATTAATTGCATAATTAGGATTTTGTAAAATATTTGTAAACGCAACTTAAAAATCTAATATTATCTACTTATTATGATATGTGTCGAATAAACAATTACAAGTAAATCTTTGTACTTGATACAAATTAAAGAGAGGTAAAATTAAAGGTAACTAAGTCACATACTGTACTGAGTTAGAAGTAATGTCCATTACAAATGACAAATGTTCAATGTACCAGAAGTAAAGATTGTTGGCACCAATAACTCGTAAATGTAACAGTAATTTTTAAGTTCAGTAATGAGGGAAGGATATGGCACTGCATATCATTACACTGTTTGGCGTTTCCATTGACTTGATAGCGAGGATTTTACTAATTGGAGATGTATACATTATTGTACGCCTCGTTTGTTATATCTATTTTCTGCGTTTAATTAATAACCGAACAGAATATAATTAATATTGAAATACAGTGACTGTCAAAACTGACTGAAGCGCTGAAAATTAAACATTAAAATGACTTGGCTGATGGAATATATGGTGCGTATATCCAAGCATTCGTTTCCGGAGCGGTGAAATGTAACATCGAAATTATTCACGACTCAAATCAGCATGAGCAATGCAGAATTTCCATGGGATTAACGATATTAAACAATGATAGAGGATAAAGTTGAATAATATCACCATTTTTCTAAAATCCCATTGTACGTTTAAATACCACTTTTTCATTTAATCGTATTATTTATCGTTTCCTAATGTCACATCAGTGTTACATTAACGTCCTACTAATGTCATACTAATACTCATACTAATCTAATCCTAACTGAATCCTGCGCGTACTTCATCCCAATTATCTATTCAATCCACTGCCCAATAAAAACATCCTCTACCCTGCCGATTCAGATTCCGTATCTGTCGTTCGAGCAAATATCACGCAGATGAATAAAGTACTGTAAACAATCTGTCGCGAAAATTTTCGCGGACACCACGTGTCGGCACGACGAGCCTAGATTCCCAATAGAAGAAAGTGTGGTCTGTCGGCCACGGTCGACGGGATGGGCAGCTTTTCAGATGGATCCGTACTCGGAACCGAGCTGGTGCTCGCTAGTAGGGATAGTGCATGTTGTGTTCGACGTGTATTGTAATGGGAGGGCACCGGGGGTTCAGTCTCTGATGATCCAGGTGGCAAAGAAGGCGAGCGTGCTGAAGAGGCGGAAGTCGCGGAACCGGATGGACATGCAACAGCAACAACAACAACAACAACAACAGTCGCTGCCGCCGGTCACGATATCCGGCGGTGTTTCGAGCAGCGCCACTGGCGACCCCAGCAGCCAAAATGACAATCAACGAATGGAGAACGAGGGTGACGTCATCTTCTACATGGAGGAACCGAAAGCGGGAACACCGAATCGGGCCAGACGCGACAACCGGTGAGTGGATGATCGATTTTTTTTCTTCTTTACGTTACGATTACCTACATGCTACCCCTGGCAGAAAAGTATTCGATCGAACGGATCAACGTTATCCGTACAGGAATTAATAGGGCTTTTCTGGAGATTTTCTCCGCGTTAAAAAAAAAGGATACGGTCTGTCCGCGGAACTGAAATACAGTAGAGCCTCCCGTATCCGAACTAATTATCTCTTCGTTATATTAATTTTTTACCACTGTGTCAATTTGACACTGAGCGACAGGTGGAAGAATGAGGGACGGATGAGGGTTAACTATTTGTGGATCCTATGTATTTTTAGCTGCTAAATTACAAAAATTTTTATAACATAAGTTACTGCCGTAGAATTCGATCGAACAGAAGAAAGTATACGTTTTATGTAAACACTAAATATTTTCGACGGGAGAAGGCATCTCTTGCTGGGAGACATTCTGTTCGGATAACAAATTTTTCGAATATTCGGGTATTAGGATAATGGGTGTTCAGAAACGGGAGGCTCTAGTATATCGGACTGTTCGGATAGTTCGTATCGTTTCTGACGACCGGGTTCTTTGACATTATTCGAGAAAGAAATAATCGATTGGTAGATTCTTATCGATATCCTTTCTGCAAATAACTTGTTAATTGTTTTTTTTTTTTTGTGAAAAATACATACGAGGAAGGAAGAGTGCGAAATGCTCGATTTTATTTAGACAAGTCACAGGGTATACAGAAGATTTTATTTTATACGATAGATCGAAAAAATAACTGTATTTAATGAACGAACAAGTAACTAGAGTTTAAATATCTCTAATCTATTCTCTATCTAGAGATTAACGACTGTAGCAAATAAAATCTAGCTTCGTATTAGAAAAATAGAATAGAAGAGTTGACTATACATATATGAAGAGAGTATAAAGAAAGTGATAAATATTTTCGTTTCTCAGCTAAATATAGAACACTGTCAATGTTCACCGTAACGTGAAAATTATAGAAAATTGTCTAGGCAATATTGCAATGTATTGAAACATTTTGAATTTTCTGAACAGAAAAGAATGACAATATGGAAATGTCGATACCTTTCTTAAACATCTAGAAATGATTGCACGCTTCCACCAATCACTGCTTCACTTTCTCATACTATATCTTGCAAACATACAGAGATAAATATATATATTTTTATCTTAACATTTTATCCAAATATAGGTAACTCTATTATTCTACTTCTGTCGCTGGGAGTCAGTACATTTTCTATGTCCAACACGGGAATGATTTTTCTACAAAATTCTCTATTTGTTCAATCGAACACATTTCGCCAGGAGTAGTATCGTCGTTTCTTCGCCAGCCTAACGAAAAACTAATCGACTGGAATTATCTAACGACCTTAACCCTTTCGCGTAAATATGTAATAGCTATAACTGTCCAGTATTTTGATTTCATCGTTATAAATGATAATTTCGCCTGTCTGTACAATTAATAGAAAGGCAACAACAGTTAACACATTGCCATATTTCGTTGAATATGTATATGCTCAAACATTAATTAGTCTACGCGTACAGACAATATCAATTAATAGTGATTGGTCAGCTACCTCACGTGATACCTCATATCCAAGTAAATTCTGACAATAGAGTAATTGTTTGTACAGTCTTCACTCGGTACACTTCAATGTTTTTCGTTTTGGAACAATATATTTTGCTGTATTTATTTGAAATGTTTTTGAAAAATAATTTACAAACTTTTTGTACATCGGATGTTTAATGGTTACAAGCATCGTTACTTTTGTACACAAATTTTTATAAAAATTTATTTTTCAATGTTCAACGAAAAAATGTTTTTGAAATATACTTTTAAATGCAATACCATATCTTGAAATGATTACAATATTCAGATTTGAAATTGAAAAGTAAAATAAACGAACGTGCAAGGGTTAAGGAATTGTTGCATAAAACATTTGTTTACATATTTCTTTTTAATCGTGTTCGTGGTCTGCAATAGTATTCTTGTGTACAGACGCATGATTAGAAACGATTCCAACTGATTTCGTATTAAAGATAATTAGAAAGCTGCTTAGATAATAAGAGTGTTCGATCGGTAAGAAATTCGAATGGCGACATGTATAACACTGCCGAATACCTTAATTTGGATGCTCGATTTTATAATTTGCTCTAGAGAAAACCCTTGACGTCGACTGTCATAGCGCCAATTATAATATAAAATTGAAACATTCAATTTGATTACGCTTATTCAATTCCAGAATTGTTAAAGAAATTAGAAAAATCGTTACACGAATTTTTAATCAAATTAAATTGATCAGTTAAATGATTTCGCGCTCTAATTGATCGGGGTTTCTCGTTAATATCTCCTTAACAAAGCCTCGGAGAACTTTATCGTTAAGGAAAAAGTTGTTTCAAATCACCCCAGGAATCATCCCTTTCAAGTACTTAACCCTATTTTGGAACACCCTCTTTTGTGTGATTATTTCGTCTCGAGTCACCGACTCTACGGGCAATCAGATTCTCTGTTAAATTCACCAATCACCAAGGCAATCGTGGCCGCCCCGGCGCATCGACATTCTTCGGGCAAATGTGTGCTGCAGGGTGACAGAATATGCGTAAGAGTCGAGTTGGAAAAATCTCGGGATGTTTCACCGCGGAATAATAGTTTGCTCCGGGGGAAACTTGGCCTGACAGGAAACGTCAGCCGACTGAAGGGGCACTTTCTCTAGAGCGGCTTTGAACGTCGAAGGAACTAGTTCGCGAGTTTGATAGTGTGAGTAGCGTATTTCCGGTTGGCAGGGGAAGCCTCTTCACCTCGCAGACAAGCTCCGTCACGGAGGCCACCAGCGACGAAATTGACATTGATATCGAGGAACCGCAGAGGGTCACCACGTGAGTACATTTATCGTTGTGTAAACTCTTTTTGAACAAACATAAAATGCACCAGACGCTTGGAATGGGATCGTGGAACGGGACGTTTCTCGTGGAGGTCCATGGTGGTCCGAAACTCACCGAGAACGTGGCCAAAACCTGCAAAATAAACTTTTCATTCGAGGAATTTTAATGGCTGAGTTGAGTAGACAAACAATGCGTCAATTGAATGACAGCAGAGAGAATTGTCAACTGTGTATGGTTGGGTTTACATTTCAGTGAAAACTTGGCCTCCATTCGAGAAGCATTTGTTTATTTATTAGAGTGTCTCACGCAATTTGGACGAGGTATATGTTTGAAACGGTAAAAGGTAGAAAAAAGTTCTGTTAGACATATTTAAATCGTTACATGTGATGCATCGCTTGGCGTATGTGTCTACTTTGGAAGTGGGGGAAGTTTCAGAGATTTCAAGGTCACCTCATATTTTTTAAATGCAACTATATATTTTTATGTACATCAGTAGATGTGTTTTTATATTTTCTATAAAAAGATACTATTATACTTTTGTCGAAAAATTATTAATTTCGAAGATATTTTAACTGCAATTTTACAACATTCTGTTTAGATTTATGCTTTAACGTTTCTTTCTTACGTCTATTCGTGTATGTTAACAATTTCATCGGTTAGTCTGATATTTTGAAATGAATTAATAATATAGGTGTGCGAATACCCGTAATTTGTTATTGTTTATGCATAGAACCACTATATTAGATCCGCCATTTTAGTTTTAGTAGGCTTAACTTCAGATTCGTAATCAGCCATCTCAATTTTGATTGAGACTCCAATTTGTCTCTAAATTGAAATGGGTTTTCATATTTTGGCTACGTTCTCGGGATTTGGGACCATTGTGCGCTCCTAGAACAAAATGTATCAGATCTTAGTTTTTTAATATCTTGACGAACACTGTGCTCGATTCAATTTGAATTATGAAGTCGAATTAACATTTATAACCTAAACGAGTAACTACATTTTATTATTTAAATGTTCGCAGAATCGTATAAATTAGTAGACAGTGTAAATTTCCTTCATTAAATTATACCATCTATTTACATTGTATTATTCTGTGATTATTTGTTTCCAGATAATCGATTTTCAAAATTCGAAATACTTTGAAAAGGATTCGATACTTAACACTGCTGAAAGTTTTGCTAAGGTTTTAATCTTGAGTCTTTAACGATTCAATATGTCTTGAAATTTTGGGTATTCTTGAATGTTTTGATAAGAATAGAAGGCATTTAAAATGCTTTTGTACTGAATAAGTACTCACCAAGTTTTCAATACTGATTAAAAGATTCGAGTCTTTTCTAGACTTTCAGGACCTGTCGAATCTTTAAGACTCAAAATTCAAGACTTACTAAGACTTCACTCTCATTCACAAAAAATGAACAATGTTTTTAACACATTATAACACTACACATATTGTTGTTTCTAATTTTCACACTTCACTACACTATATTTGGTAAAAAGACGAGTTACGTTCATTATTTTATTACTTTACTATAGTCAACTCTTATAGTCTATTTCTTTAATATACATAGAACAGTATTATTAATTCTTAATGTGTGTGTCAATACTATTTTATTATAAGAATCGAAAAATTTCAAAGATTTAATTTTTGCAAACACCTATGAATCGATTTATATTATTTTTCTACTTTCATGACTTTCAATTTAGCGTGTAGATTAGCACATCGAAATATTTTCTCTTTAAGATCTTTTATAGTACGGATTTTACGATGTGATAGCTCTGACATACCCTATTCATACCCATATCAAGGCTGCTATTGTTCATTTTGTATATTCTTCAGGCCACTGACCGCATTCTATAGTCCTTTATTTATCATCTGGAAAGAGATATATCGGTTAGATCAAAGTATACCGTGTTAAAAATAGTGTGCCAATTTTGCGAAAAAATAGTTTCTTGTGGATTTAACACATTTTGTAAATAATTATCACATTTATAGTAATCGCCATTTACCATATACTACAATTACCAACTAAAATACCTGAGTTAATACCAAATTTCCTGAATTATAGTTACTCTTTCTAGAAGTATTTGCATAATTTTATTTACAGTATTGGGGCATGTGCCAATTTTTCACTAAGAATTTGTTTGCTTTCAATATCAAGGAATTTTGATACGCTTCTGTTTACGACAGGGTATCTGCCACGGTGCTTGAAGTTTATGGAATGGACACTAGATAATTGAATCTTGTTGATGGTACAAAAAACTGAAAATCAACTTAGATGTGGAATGTGTCCCTTTTCCACTGAGCCTCTCAATTGTTAAAATCATAAAGGCAAATTATGTCAGTATTACTCAGCTGTGAACCAGACTTAAAAAGATATTAAAACTTCCCTAGAAACTTGATGTCGCATTTTATTATGCAATCTAATATATTCTAAAGTTTTTAGTTGTTTCTTTTAAACATGCGGAATTGTCTCTTCCAAACGAGGAAACATTTCTGAAGACATTATCGAGTAACTGTCGCGGATTTTCGTTTAAATCCTCTTGAGATTATTTGTCTAAGACTAAGCTGTCTGGAGACGCGTCAATTCAAACTGTCAGGTACCTAATTAATATGGAGCAACTACTTCACATTTTCGAGAGAATGACGTTGCTTGATTCTGTTGCGATTAGTATGCAATAATCGACAGGTGAAGTAAGAATAATTCTACATGAACTATTGCATTGCCGTTGGTAGAACTTATTTGATTGAATAAACCAAACGTCTGTTATAAAAATTTTTCATCTATTAAGTATAACAATGTTTTCACTAATAGTGAATAAAACAGAATGAAATAATCATCTTTATTCAAATAAATTATTAATGTAGAAATAAATATCTTTTTTATTTCTAAAAAATACAGAACTGAAATAGAGGAATTTAAACACTAAATAAAGTTTCTGAAAATTGCTACTGCCACGCGTTTTGTTAAAAAAAATATTTTAATATTGACTTCGTAATATTAAATTATACAGAGTGCTTCCAAAATTGTGGTACAACCTGAAAAGATATGATTCTATATACAAAAATACGTGAAAAATGTAGCATAACATTTTTTCCGTACGATGCTTCGTTTCCAAAGTTCATTTAACCCGTATTGGTTCATGGTAATATTAAGTACAAACAGAATACAATGAACAGACACGTTAGCCAAGTCCTACTCAATTGTATGTATGTGTACTACATTCTAAATTTTAGACTTATGTTTATGAAATGTTCAGTGAAAAGATGATGCTACAAAATTTAAAATTTCACAAACATGGTAGCAACATCTAATAAAGTAAACACAAAAAGAACTCATACTTTTACGTGGTCGTAAGTTTAGAAATAATTTGAAGATCATGATCAATAGTTATTTTAATTAATCAACTGAAAAATGAATCTGACAATTAAATGTAAAAACGTTGTTTCTAATTGTGTACAGGAATAACTCCGGAGTCCATTATCCAACAATACTTCCATTCTAAAAATAACAATTCTCTGGTATTCATTTAATTAATAGCCCCACGTTTACAATATTATTGGCAAATTTACTTTAACTGGGACGGGTGGTATCGTCGAAGTGATCACAGATACGAGAAAAAGCGATACGGTGAAATTAAATGGCTCTCGATGCACCGACTTCGTATATTCCATTACACGTTTACGTACTAGAATGCTGTTACACTTTTTCTTTAACGACATCTAATATTGTCTAATACTCTAATTCATCCGGTCGTACAAGATTTTAAATGAAATGCACATCGAATGAACAAAATGAACTATGCGTTAAAGGGTTAATAGTAATAAATACGCATATAAATATAACTTCAAAAGCTCATAAATACATGAATCAATCGATACTTTTCAGGTAAGCCGTATCATGTGTACTTTTTCACAATCACGAATTGTGTTTGTCTTGTCTTTTTCCAGTAGCGATCGAAAATCCTTCGATTTTGACAGTTCCAACCTGCCACGAATGAAACACAAAAAATGTCTTTTTCATCTGACAATGAGACAAATTGGATACAAAGATATCAATTGTCCTTTGAATTTCAATAGGCGATATTAGGGGCGCTTACACTACTGCTTAGAAAAGATCGTATCGTTGCCTCAACAATGGGTGGAATAACAAACAAGTAAACGGAAATTGAATTCAAGAAGAAGTCAAAGTTTCGAGCCCCGATCGCTCTGCGGGATATCTGCGGACTATTTTACGCTCGCGTCGAGGTAGATAACTACGAAGAAAATCAAGCCGAAGGAAAGCCGTGGAGCCTATATCTTCATGCAAATTACTTTCACTTTGCATGCGGAATCGATATTACCGGCGAATTTTCGTCCAGCACGTACGGTTCTCTAGTAGGCTCTGGAAACGTTCGAGACGGCAACGTGCAACGTATATTTTCGATTCAACGACCGCCGAATCTCGTTAACGTTAGACCGTGGCGCGATCTAAAACATTTCCGTAATTCGATCGGCGCCCTCCATTGTTGCTGCACAAAATGCGAGAAGTATTTCAACTACTCGAAGTATGTGGGGTATCTTCGCGAAAAATATTTTTGCAAATTGCCTGTCATTATTCCGGAATCATAATAATATTACAGTAAGAATAGTCCAAAGAAGTAAAAGGAAAATTTTCGAAAACGGATATCACTGTTTCTGGTATTGACGTTTCGTTGGACTTCGTATTCGAAAGAAGAATGGAATGATACCTCGCGGTGGCGGTGGCTCTTGTGAAAGGCTTTTTTTTTCTCGAAATGTACAGTACGTAAGTGCTTTTTTCACCGGTGCATTACTTTGCTTCATCGACGGCCTACATTCTTTACCGTCGCGCGGTACTCGAACCCTTAACACAAAGACAGTCGCGGCCAGATTGTTCCACTATCCCTTTTTCACGGCTGCATTCGCGACGCCATTCGTTGCGTTTGATACGTGAGCCACGTTTCTTCTTTTCATTTCTTTTTTATTTGGACACGCTTTCCTCCGCTTCATCGTTGCAACGTGAAATCGTGCGCACCTCAAAGTAACCAGCAGCAAATTGTCGAGCCACTTCAATTTAAAGTTGTGATTTACACATTTTCTTGCGACATACAGTCTGTTTCATAAGAGCGTTGGAACGGTATCTGACACGTTAAAATGACTAACTCCAGTTTTTGAAATTCTTTAAAATTTTAGTGTCGAAGCACTCGGTTGGTGCTTGATTTCTTTTTTTTATATTTAAAATAATTTTCTATTTATCCATTTGTGGAGTCAATCACTTCGGCAAATGAAACTGCTCATATAACACTTATGTATCTCATTTCAGTTTCACAGACCGATCCACAAAAGTATACACATATTCGCACGAACATCCACATTCTGAAAACGGATAACTTTAAAACGAAACGAACAAATGAAATCGTACATCTGGATTTTCGAGTCACCGCGGATAATTAATCAAATTATAAGAAAAATACTCTGTTACCTGTGCGTCCGCTAAATTAATCGTAACCCCTCGTGAAATTGATCTACGACCGAATCGATTGTCCTGATCATAAATCAACGACAAGAAAACGCGCCCTCGGTAAAAATGATAGTCATTCTACATCGATGTCCATTCCGAGGTGTGCTTGGAGAGATGGAAAATTCCCTCTCTGCTTTTCGCGGTTGGGATCGGTTTGGAAATGAAATTTACTTGATTTTCAGGCTGACCGAGGCACATCGAAACGCCATAAGGGCGATCCGAAAGATCAAGTACTTCGTCGCGAGGCGGAAGTTTCAGCAGGCCCGTAAACCGTACGACGTGCGCGATGTCATCGAGCAGTATAGCCAGGGTCACCTGAACATGATGGTCCGGATAAAAGTGAGTAAACTCGTTTTCTGTTATATTACTCACCAGGTGGTTCGTAAATGGCGGTACAACCGAAAAGGAGTGATTCTATATAAAAAAATAAGTCGAAATTGTAGAATAGAATTTTTTCGTATCAGATTACATTTTCGAGAAAATTCACTTTGAAATTCTGTTAGCTACGCGTACAGTTGGATAGGACTTGGCCAGCGTGTCTGTTCATTATATTCTGTTTCTACTTATAGGCGTTTCAGATTAATTTTCAAAGTCGATTTTCTCGAACACAAAGCTTGATTACATAAAAATTTTATTCTACATTTTCGATTTGTTTTTTTTTTATGTAGAATCACTCCCTTTCCAGTTGTACAGTTAAAGACCACCTTGTATAATCCGGTGGATTGTGAATTTTACACGTAGCTACTGTGTTCACGCTATTACCCAAATAGCATAAAAACTAAATTTTATCTGATTCTAATTTTTATAAATTGTTGTTTAAAATGTCGAATTTGCATAAACATCAGCAGTCTAATTATAATATACACATTCAATTCTATACAAATTAAGTATATGTATATTAACGCGTAACATAAAAAAAATGATAACTTCATATTTTTATTTACCAAACAATTCGTGTATTTTAATTCTTTTGCACATTTGAGGATACTTTGTACCTTAGTCTACATCTTTCGAAAAATATTTGAATTTTTTACGCACAGTATGAAACTCACGAATTGTTAGAAACATTGTTCAAAATATCTTTTGAACGAAGAGATATAAATTTGTGGCAAGGTTGGTAGCCATGAAATGGTTTTGGTATAGAAATTTGAGACTCGTTGGATGGAGTTTTGATTAAGGGAAAAACCGGTCGCTTTGAGACGCTCGGAAAATCTTGGAAGTTCCTTTGCTAATACGAATATTAATGTTTACCTATGCACGTATAGAGCTGAAATATCACTGCGCCGCCGAACAGGGTAAGCGTCTTATCGAAGAAATATATCAACACGGGAAAAAATAGGTTGCCGTAAAAGATTTTCGATGCAACAGTAATCTGAAAGATCACGTATATAGTGTCAAATGTACAAGAATTATAAACAAGTTTTTCTTTTAAATTTTACCCATTATTGCGTAAACAGAAGCTAATACAATCTGGAAAAACACTTATAAGAGGATGTTATAGCTTTGCTTTACTTTATGTACTTGGATATTAACTTTGTTTACTTCCTTTCTTTGAACATTTGATAATAATGTTTATTACTGACATTTTTTAACTGACAATCTTTTTTCCCTAATTATTAAATATTCAAACTATTCTTCATAGTAACAAAAACAGTAGATATTTAAGATTTAAAAAAATAGGTACATTTGGCCAGATCAAACGATTCTTCCTTCGGCCAGTAAAAACGTAACGAAGACACTGTGCTCGAAACACTACGAACATTCCAAACGGCCCAAATGATATTTCAATTCCATTGACATCCACCGAAAGTTCTTTCGCAAACTAATACAGGCTATCGTGAAACTGTCAATGATCGGAAAAATCTACGAGTCTCGATCGCCGGTCAGTTAAGCATTCGAGACGTAGACCAGGATCGTGGACAAAGGTAAACGTTGTATCGCGTATCGTTCCTCCCCAAGAGAAATGCAGATTGCGCGTCGACAATTATTACGTCACTGCCAATCGAGGAGTGAATAAAGCCAATGTCAGCGCGTGGGACAATGGAGTTGTCAATATACACCGTACCAAGAGCCGGGTTAGTTGATCGAGTGTCGATATAACGGTGTGTGCCAATCTGGAACGTGTCGAGCATCATCCTGTATGCTCTTTAATATTTTAGGAGAATCACTTCTGTTTGAGCAAATGTAGACCAATAACGAATCATAATGGAACAATCACGGGTGGTCAGTAACAGAGAACAATGTTCACCGTTGAATGAGATGAAATCAAATTCTATGAATTGAATATACAGGGTGTGCATGGTATTACTAACCATCGATTTTCTTGTAGATAGTAAATGTTAGAAAAAAATGAAAGAGGAAACAGTATTTCGTTCGTAAAACACAAATTCGTTCATATAATTTCGAAACAATAATTGATTGTAACGATTTTCATGGGATTTCCATTTATGTATCCTCGTTGTCTTTACTTTTATCATTCTTCTCTGATAATTTAGTCAAACGTGACAGTCTTGCAAAACGCATTATATTTATATATTATTATTACTGTAGTGAAGCCTTCTAGTATAGGATTTAAAATTCTGTCCAATTTTAATGTTTATACATTAGTATTCGAAATTTTGAATTTACATGATCCTGTTAGTATTATCCTTAATGATGATTTATATAATAATCATAAAATGACCTGATACTTTCTCTAATTATCGAGGGCTGTATCTATGCTGCCATTAAAATTAACGAAGTGCTTTGTTACTTTTCTTTCTCGGGCTTGTTATAAGAAATTAGTGTCGATATCTGGGCCATAAAAAGAAACAGTAAAGACCTCTCTGAGAACAAAGTTTCACAGTCGATAGTAACGGGTGCATTGAAGTCTATTCTGAAGCCTTCAATAGTAAACATTGATCGATATTTCGTCTTCCCGTTATATGGACGTTTTTCGTCCAATCTTGTCTTCAGGCGTCATCTTTTATATTGAAATAACTCCCTTTGCTCGCGTACAGTCAGAGTTAAAAGTGAGCAAACAAAAAGTGTTATAAAGTAGTTGTTGTAGGATTATTCATCTATCAGACGAGTGGTTTGTAATTAAGGGATAAATCTGAAATATCTTCAGTGTTTCCAGAACAATTATGTGAGGTTTGCAAATGTGAATAAATATGGGTACTTCTAAAATTGGTACTTCTGGGCACCAGAACATCATATTATTATAATCATTTTCTTGCTGTCCTGTGTGCATCTTATGCATATTATTTATGTCTTTTCACAGGAGTTACAAAGGAGATTAGATCAGACCCTGGGCAAGCCAGGCAGCTATCTGGCCGGAATCGACCGGGCAGGCAACGTAAAGCCGATGACGATAGGCGCACGCCTATACAGGCTCGAACAGCAGGTGAGTCTCCTTCTGACCTGCATCCGTTGCATGAAAATTCTCTGCAAACGTCTTAGACATTGAGTGGCGTATTACTCAGCTAATAATCTAATTGTCCGATTAATACTCGAGCATTACTACTGCTAAACTTCTTGCTGTTAAGCCGTGTATACATACTGGGTGTAACAAAAATATTGGAAGACCCGGAAATGGGAGACTCGTGAGGGGATTTGAAACAAGTTTTTCCTTAGCAAACATGTTTTCCGAGGCTTTGTTAACGATATATTAACGAATAGCCGCGACCAATCAGAGCACGAGTCTGCCAACCAAGTTCCCGCGGTAACGTTGATTACCAATCGCAACGCTGCAGTACCTAAGGGCGTCATTCTGAGCTCAAAACAATTAATGAGATTAAATAATTGTTTGCCAAATGTCGACTTAGTCAGGAAGAAATATTATGTCATTATAAAAACTGCAATTTCTACATTTAAACAATTAAAAATGACGGAGAATTTTTTTATCTTTTAATCGTTGTTTGAAACTCTTTAACTAGATAATGAATTTGCCAATCACTGATTTAAACGAAAATATATTTTATTGATGAACATTTCTTAACGAAGATTTATTAACAAAGTAATATAACTGGACGACAAACCTTCACATCACAATCAGTACCTTTCATATTGATTACTCTCTCCATTCGATTGAGTACTTTCTGTTGATATCGAATATACATATATAGTAGCCGAAAGTATCGATAAAAATACTTTATATCGAAACGAAAGTACCGATTATTTACTTGTATTTACTTGGATCGGTTCATCCTTAAATACACTATTTAGTGCCTAAAATTCAATATGGAAAACAGTTTGGTACTGTATTTGAAAATACTGCTTCCTCATCGCTGTCCACTTATCGAATAACCATTAGGATGAAACGAACAAACGTTCTCCAACATTCACCCGGTCATTTATCACACCTACGTTACAGAAACGAATGTAACGAATGCGCGAAACGTCTCGGACCAGTTCTAACGATATAAAAGGCCGTCGTAAAAAGATTTTACCCCTCGTTGATCCTCCACCCCTCCCCGAACGCCTGAAATTTATTAGCCTTTTTGCCTGATCCCTGAAAAATTCCTCCATCCCGGTACAAAGAGATTTCTTGTCCGCGGACCCGTGGAAGATTGATACTAACACGAAAACCATTTCTGTCCGCAGTTGTCCGTGATGGACAAGAAATTGGACCAGCTGGGCTACGTGCTGAACGCGGTCGCGCAAAAGCAACAAATACCCCTGAGGAGTATAGAGGACGACGTGTAACAGAAAGCCCCCGGCGAGCTCGTGCCATCTGTTTCGCGATCACCGGCGATCCCGTGGACTTTGCCCCGCGTCACCATAACCACCGTCGCTCCGAGCATGCTCAGCGAGAGCTCTTGAATCCGTTGCTTGCTCGATCAGCCGAGGAGCCAGGGAACGCTACTCCTGTCCCAACGATCGCACGGACGACATTAAGCACGAAGGTGGGAAGAAAATGAGATTCAAAGGAAACTGGACGGACAATTCGAACGACTGGCTCTGGTTCTTATCTGCTATGCCAGAGGTCAATGTGAATGCAGCAGGATTAAAGCTAACGAAAAATTAAGAAAGGAAGGGACAAGATTTTGGAAGACAGAAGAAACTGGATTCTGAACATGGGAATTGTTAGTTGGTTGAGATTACATCGTACGAAACTTTTATGGATTTGGATGGGTGGAAGGAAAGAAGATTACGAAGAAATGGGAATCGAAGAAAATGGAAAAATGGGATACAACTGAATTCTGGGAAGGACACTGAACGGACAATTCGAACTACTGGCTCTTCTTATCTGCTATGCCAGAAGTCGATGTGAATGGAGCAGGATTAAAGACAACGAAAAATTAAGAAAGGAAGGGACAAGATTTTGGAAGACAGAAGAAACTGGATTCTGAACATGGGAATTGTTAGTTGGTTGAGATTACATCGTACGAAACTTTTATGGATTTAGTTGGATGGGAAGAAAGAAGATTGCAAGGATACAGGAAGAGGACGAAATGGAAGAATGGGATAAAACTGAATTCTAGGAGCGTGTGTTGTATACGCGTCGGATTAGTTTTTTGGGTGCAGTATTCTATCCCAACCGTGATGCTTGCAAACCAAGGACTCTGATTTGAAAAGGCGAAGAAAAGGCTGAAGTTTTTAATAGGAAGATATGTAAATGGAAGAATGGTTTATTTTAATGAACTTTGAAGTTAATAACGACGCGCTCCACCTTGAAAATTGAGTGGTATATTTATTTAAAAAAATGACGACTAGCAAAGAATTATTTACAAGCATTATATACAGAGGAAAGAAGTTTTAGATCCACGTTTAATATAACAAAATGCAAACTTCTAATGATTTTACTGAAATTCACGAAAACGAAAGGAACGCAAGAGCGCAGAAAGAGACATTCTCAATCGAGCTGAAACGAACAGAAGTGCAAACTCCTCAGAATATACGGAACAAATCCAAAAAAAGCTTCAAAACGCGAATATTAACAAACATACAAAAACTATATTACGCATAGTTAGAATCGAATATTCAAATGATGAAGGACAAACTCGACGTAGCCACACGAGTGGTCGAAAAGAACGCCATTCCTACGCGATTATTCTCTCGCAAGATAACAAAGGAATAATAAAAGTTTCGATTGATCGTGCTGTTTCCTTTGACATTGTTCGCAACCCCATCGAAAGACGAAGACACCAGAAATCCAATATCCAGGATCACGTTACCTCGAAGAACCAAGATCGATACAAGCAAAACGGGGGATCGAAGATCGGCACGAGTCGACGGGAGCGGGACTCGATCGACGAGGACACACGTTCGTCACTTGGATACTTCCGTAACCGTGGGATCGACGATCCTGAGCAAACCATTAACAAAAACCAAAACGATCACGCTAAACGCACAGGAACGGATTGTTCTGTTCGAAAAACTGTATGGAAGGACAGCGACGAAGCAGGCAGAAACGACACTCGATTGAACGGAGAACATTTGATTCTCTGCCCTCGACACACCGGTATACAAATATATGTATACTCCATGTACATATATACCACTGGTATCGATGAACGTTCGTTACCATATGGCGAAATAATCGGCGACGCTGGATCCAACCGTTGAACCAACAACCTCGGTTTAAACATTCGCGTCGGATAAGTCGTGCCATCAGGGAGCATCGTTCCAGACGAATTCTAACGAGCGAATAGATGGGGGGGGGGAGCGCGCTCGACGTAATGGACGCGTTCTAGAGAACGTTAGCAGGGTTTGTGGTCTCGTAAGGAGAACCAATCGGAGGCTGTTCCGCGTAACGACGGAGGAACGGACGCAAAAAACGCATTGGGAACATCTATCGGGCCAACTAGGAATAATAGAGAGGAACAATAAGCAAATATATAAAGAGAAAAATACTTCCTAGACGAAATATTTCTAATAGGCTTATTATAACGTATACATAAAAGATTAATTGCATAAAAGATACATATATATATATATATATATATATATATATATATACATATACAGGGTGTTCCGCTAAACATAGGCCACCTAAATATTTTCTCTATCCGTGATCATACGAAAATTATTTTCTACGTACTTTAAATTGTCTCGAGAGAAGAATCAGATGGCGAAAGAAATTATGTAAGTGAATTAAAAATGTTTAGAGTAAATTTTTTATAAGTAAATTTGAAACTTTTAGAGTTCAAGGTCATTTCAAGATCATACTATGGCTAAATGCATAATAATCTTGGTTATAATATACAACATGAAGAATTATGTGCGGATATATGTAAAAAAAAAAACATGGGTGACCTTGAAAAAGAACCATTAAAAAATGACATTTATACAACATTTTCGCCACCATCCGATTCGTCTCTTGAAACCATTTAAATTACGTAACAAGTATTTCTCGTATGATCACAGATCGAGAAGATATTTAGGTGACCTGTTTTAAGCGGAACACCCCGTATATATATATATTATATATACATCTTACATTGAATTATATTATAACTTCTAGTCTCTGCTGGTAATAACGATCAATTATTAAGCCTTAATTAATCACGGATTTTGAGATTTAGCGTGTTATTATCTGGAAAGGGGCGCGTGTACCACGCCCATTGTACAAAAGCGGTGTCGAGTTACTTGATTGACTTTACTCTACCTTCTAATCGTAATACTTGATCGATTCCTTTTTTCTTTTCTCTCAATTTCAAGCACAAACGCGGAACTTGCCGAGAAAACAATGTATGCTTTTAAATAAGATATCTTCGTGTTGTACGGTTCCCCCGGATTTTTAAGCCCGCGTCTCTTTATTCGGGCGCTAGTTCAGATTTGGGGTCCGATGACGCGACAGAAACCTTGCCGAACAAATCAAAGGAAAAGTATTGTCCAGTACTCAACAGATAACGAAGCAAATCGTCCTTCAGCGTGGACGGGGTTCCTCGCTAGCCCAAGAAGAAATAGGGAAACGTGCAAATTCGTAGACTAAGGGCACAAAAACATAAGTAACGTGAGTTTTTTTCATCACACATTTCGTATTTGGTATGCATTCCTTCATTTTTTAAAGAAGTCGGACCAGTGTAACGCTCTGAACAGATGCGTGTTTTTGTGAATTTATTTGTGCAAAATTCAACCGACTGTATGTTCTGAAATTTTTACCTTTATTAAGGCATTATTAATCCTCAGAAACTACACCCCACTTTAGCATACGTGAACGCGTATTAAAATCTCGATAGTTTCTTATACTTCGCACTAACAAAAAAAAGTATAATTTGTTATATTTTTTTATAATTTTTTAGGTTCATCCTCTAATAGCATATAAATCTATTTATTTATTTCTTTTTGTTTTTATGAATTCCGAAGAAATGATATTCTTTTGATTCTATTGAATTCCGAGAAAAACGCGTTAAAAAATTGAGAAGTTATTATATTCTGTGCATATTCACTACATAATCGCGTACCATTATGGTTTTTAAGAATTTCAAAAAACATTTTAGGGACAAACTTTTAAAGGTACTGAAAAATGGTACAATAATGGTACAGAAAAATGCGGAGAAATTGTTCCATTTTTTTTACCGTTACACTGGTCTGACCCCGTAATGAATGCGATTTGGCATGTGCTTTTCATCAGCCTTCTAAAGTTTATTTTAATGACTCTATCTATTAAATACTATATTGTTTTCTTCTGACAATGAATCATGCATTTTTAACTGAATTTACCTCCAGAGTATTTCTGAGCTATAATAGCAATTTCACATGGTTTTCGTTATTGGACGAAGAAATACATATTTTCACGATTAATATTAATCTAGAATATCGCGAAAGTTTTTATAGTTCCTCGAATAACAGTTATTTCATATGTTTACAGAAAATGAACAAAAATATGGTGAAAATTTTGTCTCGAGTCTATTAATTTACATACTTGTGTATAGAAAATTTAATTCGATTTCTTCAAGATAAATAAAACATATCTGGATTGATATGTAACATGTATAAAAAAATATAATGAACATGTTATTCGTTTGCGTGAAAAAAGTGCTGAATCTTCACGCTGAAGGACGAATTTCGTGAATGTATAGGGTGTTCGTAATATGCATGACCAGGTTTTTACAAGTGCTTAAAAATTTATAATTGCAGATGAGAATTACTATTTATCATTTTTATGTTTTTCTTTTCTTTGGTAACGTTGAAAACGCTATTGCTTTGTCTGTGCAAAGTAATATCAATTATTTCAAGAGATCCTTTCAAAATTTTATTACTCGTCATCTAGACACAACATTTCTAACTCTGTTAAGTTAAAAAAACAAAGGATTCAAAAATGTAACAAATACCAATAATTCATGAAGATTGATTGAGTATTTTTACAGAATTACAAAAGTTGAATCGTTTAACAAATTTCAAAAATACAAAAATACAAAAATACTTCATTCTTAATTCCTACCAATGAATCGTAACAAACTACTTACAGTTATTACGATTTGTTCGTTTAATAAGCAAATTAACACTGCCTCTAATTCGCAGCGATTCCAAACATGTATTTGATTCTAACATTCAGGCGCGAATAATCAATAAAGGAGTGATGAATTTCACAAACTTGTAGCTAATTAGATATTTCTAGTAATTTTTCAGATTTTATTTGACTGGATTTCACGAACACCCTATACGTGAGTAGATATCGTTCAAAAATTGACAAGATAGTAGAGAATCGTCGGAACCGCAAACTAAAAAAAGAAGGAAACAGGGAACGATGGCGATGTAATATATATATATATATATAATTACTGCAACAACAAAAAGAGGGAAGATAAAGAGAATCAGATTTATTCTGCATATGAATATATTTATATTTTCTACGTAGGTTATCGGGGACGGCACATAAAATACCGTAGTCTTATCGACACCGTAAGTTATGTGCGTAACTTCACGTCAGAATTTCGTCGTGCTAATTCTAAGCTATTCTGTGTGTGGACGTATGAATGTGTACAATAGTGCAATGATGAGTTTTTTTTCTACTTTACCTTCTTCATTAACCATTCGAGTATAAAAGAAACAGACATACCTACTGCGGTTTTGTTATTATTTCAAGGACAGTATAGTATAAAATACCATACATATGGCCAATTTTTCAGTGTCCATATTTTTTCAAATTTCTCCATAAAGAGAACAAATGTAAATAAATAGTTAAAATATACTTTCTGATACTTCAAATGATATATACAGGATGTCCCAAAATAGCTTCGACTCCCGGAAATGAGGGGTGCCTGGGATGATTTGAAACAACTTTTCCCTTAGCAAAAATGTTATCCCAGGCTTTGTTAACGTGATATTAACGAAAAACCCCGACCAATCAGAGCGCGAGTTTACCGGCCGAGTTCCTGCGCGCTACGATTGGTAGCCAACGCTACCGCGGGGACTCGACCGGCAGACTCGCGCTCTAATTGGTCGGG